TTTTCTGCTGACTATATAGATCTTCTTTTCTCATCCTCATTAAATAAAATATATGATAAATGAGTTCCTTATATATAATTTAAGATGTGAAAAATATAGTTATAAGTGACTTATAGATCTCTTATCATATTTCATTCTATGTATAAAATTCCCTGTAAAAGAGGTGTGCTTTTAGAGACAAAGCTAACAGTAGTGATAGATTTTTTTCAAAAAGATCTTCTCTCTCATAATACATTTTTCTCCCCCTCTCTTATCTGCAATAGTGAGTGCATGAGAGCATCATTCTTGAGAGACAATAAGGAGCTTATTCTGACATTTTCTAGTGAGTAAACATCTTCATGATGCGGCTGTGGTCTCTGTAACTGCCAAGAAAGTCAGGTTGAAGGCAGAGGCAGTGATGTCAATGAGCCGCGGGAGTATCACTTTCATTGCCACATCTTCTCCTGCTTCTCTTACAGCTGTGGTGGTAGTTGCTGTGCCTTGCAGTGAGATGTCATCTCTTCTGTCAGTCAGTTTATCTGTGTTCAGTCCTTCTCCTGTTCTTCTCATCATCATTGCAACACCATCCTCCTTCTCAGTCAACATGATAGTATATGACTCTGTGTAATCATTCAGAGAGAAACCTGAGAAGAGCTTGATTTCAGAGACAGTGACTCTGAGAAGCTCAATCTGTAGTTTTCCTTCTGCAGTACATCTGAGCTCTGCTCAGAATACTGCTAAGTTAAGTTTACAGAGTTCTGTAATTTCTTTATCTTCTCTCTGTGAGAAGGCTCTGATACAGTCTCTAATCAGTATCATTACTTATCTGCACTGTGCTAAACAGCTGAAGAAGAGAGAGATTTTATGTATCTACTTCTTCTTTCACTTCTGTTATTTTTATAATATCTGTAATAATGACTTCTGTCTCTTTATAAGTATTATCTCATAGAAAGATGTTGTGTCAGCTCTGATAAGAAGCTCAGATACTCAAGCAGTACAGAGTGAGAGTCTCAGAGCTCTAAGTATTAACAGATTCTATCAAGACTGAAGAGATCTCTCTTACTCATCTGTAAAAGAAGATAAAGATATAAATCTCTGAGATAAAAAAACATCTTAGAATAACTAATCTTAAGAAGAAATCAGCTGACACTACTGTTAAAAGTATTATAGAGATCAATTACTAATTAAAAAGAATCTCACTTCAGTTGAAACAGATAACTGAGATACTTTATAAGTTAATAAGTTGATACTTTCAGTATTTCTTATACTCTTCTATAGTATGCTTCTCTGCAGTACTGCAGTACTAACTTCTCAGTAGATAAAGATACTAATACTGAAGACTTCAACAATGAAGAATGAGTTTAATAAGAATGTAATTATTGATAAGTAGACTCTGATTCTCTCTTTTTACTTTTTCAGTGAGCTGCAGCTCTATTAGAATAGTAGCAGTCTGTAGATTGATAATATTAATCTATATTAATTTCAAATATCTCTTTCTTTTCTTATTAACTACTTCAGGAATTTTATACTTATATAGTCTTATTAAACTTCTAAAAAACTCTTTAAGAGAAAATAAAAGAAGAGTATTATAGAGTTCATAAGATATCAGCTTCTTATTATAAGATTATCTCTAAAAAAACTCTTTAAGAAAAATGAGAAGTCTTAAGCAGTATTTCTTATTCAATGTCTCTGATATATAATAGAGTAGTCTCTACTAGTTATCTCATAGCTTATAATCTCTTTCTCAGCATTTTTCAAATACTCAAGTGATTCTCATAAATTCTCTGATAATAAATAATCTTTTTATTTTATAAGATATTGAAGCTTGCTGTAATATATTTACTTATTCAATATTTTCTTTATAAAATATTCAGTATCACTCTTAATCTTGATATTATTCAGCTGAGATGACTCTACTCTGAGATATTACTTATAAAGCTTTAAATAGAAAATGTGAAAAACAGAATGAATTGATTTCAATTCTGTAAGTAATTTCAACTTATATATCTACTTACTTATTACTCTTATTACTAAGAAAGATTCTAGTCACTACTTACTGAGCTTCTTATATAATCTTGTTATCTTGATATTCTTTACTGAAAGTAGTACTTCATTCTCTATCAAGAACTTCATTGAAAGATATTTTTAATTATAGTATTTTATCTACTACTTCTAAGTATAATAGATACTTTTCACTATCTTCTTATGAATTTTATTTAAAAGTTTCAATCTCACTTTTACTTCTAATACTAAGAAATACTCTGTTCTCTGTATCTGTTCAATATTCTGACTATCTATTCTCTCTTTTAAAATATTATTCATAATGTCACTGAATAATGAAGAATTATATTTATAATAAGTATAGAAAGAAGATATCTTTAAGATTACATTCTTTGTATTATTATATATAAATTTGACAGTTAGAAGATATTTAAGTCAATTATTCTGATAATATAAATAGAATACTTAAAGATACTATTCTAGTATCTAGTTCTGATATTCAGTCTGATTATCTGTCTACAGATAGAAAGTAGTACTGAGAAGACATTTTATTATAAGATAATAGTAAAAAGCTAATCAGTATTTACTGATGAAGAGAGATTCTCAATCTGTTATTAATAATTTCAGAGCACTGTGATTATAAATGATAATATTTAAAAATAGATCAGTCAATTCAGAGACTTTAATCTTTTTATAAATAGAAATATATCTGATTATCTTTGTGAAGTGATTAATAATAACTAAAATTAAGTCATATTCTTTAACTCTTATTAACTTCAGCAGATCAACTATGAAATTCATTGATAAATTCTGTCATAAGTTCTTTAAAACAGATAGTGATATCAACTCACTGTATTACTTATACTGTAAGATCTTTATTCTTTGACAGATATTATAAGTCTTAATATACTCTTTAACATCTGTTCAGAGCTTGTTTTAAATATATTTACATTTTAAAAGCTTCTCAGTCTTCTCTAATCTAAAGTACTCTGTATGAGAATTATTATAATAAATTCTCAATAACTTCTGACACACTGTTCTGTTATAAGAGATAAAGACTGAATCATTCAGTAGTAGAAGTTCATATTTTCCTAGTTATCAGTGACTTGATTTCTTAGCAGTATCACTCTACTCAGAGTCTGTCTCTTTTAAGTTTAAATCAGATTCTTTCTTCTTTAACTTCTGAATTCAAGCTGCAGTAGAGACATTCCTCTTCTGTAACTTATTAATGAATTTTAAAAGTAGTCAGATTAAAAGATTATAGATTATTTCATTCTTTATCAATTCAATGATTATAAGATGTGATATAAGAAGCTCATAATTTTCAGTGTCAGTTCTCTACAGAGATCTGAGTTTTCTTTCATCTTCTATACTGAATTATGCAGCTGTCTTATCAGTGCTGTTTCTAAGCTTCAGAGAATCTCAATTCTCTGCAGTCAGCTTCTTCTACAGTGATAATAGAGATTCTTTTATAGAATTCTTCTCTGCATTAATAATATTATAATCAGGCTGTTTAGATAGTATATCAGTGAGATTAAGCTGATCTGAACAGTATCAGATATAGAAATCATACTCTGAAAGCAGCTTTATTTATCTGACTTAATATTCTATTAAGCTCTTTGTTATCAAGAAGTAATATAGATTTGCATAATTAGTGAGAACTTGCACTGAGTACTTACTATTCTGAAGATAATATTATCAGATCTTAAAGAATTTAATAATTACTAATATCTTCTGATTATAAGTATCATATCTTCTCTGTATAAGTGATAACTTCTTGAAGAAGAAGATCACTGATCTTTATTTACAGTATCTTATAGACTCTGTGAAAAAGTCTTCTTTTATAAATAATTCATTATCTGTATTCTCAGAAATAATTATTCTCTGATTCTTTCAATATTGAAAGATCTTCAGTGTTAACTGTGAAAAGATTTTATAGATCTTCTTCTCAGATATATTAGTCTTACACTGACTGAATAAGTCAGAGTTAAAGTGATTCAGTATTGTAATATCTGTAAAAGCTTATTTCAATTCTATAAATATCTACATAATATCTTGAGTGAGAATAAACAGTCTCATTTTTCTGTCTTTCATACTTCTCTTTAACAGATCTGTAAGAAGAACAGTAATCTGTGAATATATATAGATGAATTATCTGTAGAAATTCACAAATTCTAGAAATATCTGCATCTCACAGTACATTCACAGCACTGATCAGTTCTTAATAACAGAGACTCAGCTTCTGTTCATTGAAATGCTGTTTATCTTAATAATATAATCTAAGAAATCAATCTTCTGCATGTAGAATAAGTATTTTTCAGTATTTATATAGAGTTGATACTATCTCAAGTGACTTAACACTTCTCAAACATGAATATCATGTTCTTTCTCTGATTTTGAGAAGATTAGAATGTTATTCAGATATACTATATAAAAGACATTGATAAGACTCTGCAGCATCTTATTTATATAAATCTGAAAGATGACTGAAGTATTACAAAGATCAAAAGATAAAACAAGATATTTAAAATTGTCATACTTAGTATGAAAAGCTGTTTTTCAAACATTGTCTTCATTAACTCTGATTCTATGATAGATATTCTGTATATTAATCTTTGAGAATATCTTTGCTTCAGATAATCAATTAATCATCTCATTAATTAATAGTAATAAATAGTAATTGTTAACTATTATCTTATTAAGATCTCTGTAGTCTATATATAGATGTAGTCTATTATTCTTCTTAAGTATAAAGAGTATAGATATCTCTGCTGAACTCTTTAATAAGTATATTCAGTTCTTTGATTACACTTCTTCAAGATATTTATACAGAATATTCAATTTCTTTATAAATAAGTTGTAAAGAGATCTGTACAGTGCTGTTACACTATCTTCAAGATAAATCTTATATTATATCTTGATATCAGAAAACTTTGCTGCTTCTCTTTCTGAAAAGATATTCTTATAATCTGTAAAGAGATATTATATTCATTTATCTTTAATAACAGATACTGCTACTAATCTTACAGTGAGAGTGATGATTTTTTCATCTATTTTCAAGTCTCAGTTATCTGCTACACAGTATATTAACTCTATCTTCTTCTCAAGATTCTTCTGATGAAACTCTTCAGATTTCTCTATCACTGTCTCTTCATCAGTAAGATGATACTATCACATCTAAGTAACTCAGTTAATGAGAGAATTGTTTTCTCTCAAGTACAGAAGATCTAAAATAACATTCTCATCTATAATATTAACTATGTGAAGAAGCAGACTGCTCTTCTTAAAGATTTCTTCTAAGTCTGTGATTACACACTTTGCTTGAATTATATTAAAATGATAGCATTTCATTTCATTGATAAATTTCATATAGTCTGACAGATCTATCTTCTTTCAACTCTTCATTAAAGAAAAGAAATAGAATATGAAGTTGATATCTATCTCAGAGTTAAGTAGATATCTTACTAATATCTCTCTATTTAAAGTATACATTGTGATCATAATATAAACTCAGAGATATAAGAATTATCAATTCTTCATTTCTTTCTCTTCTTTATCTTTCATGAATATATTTGTCAGAAGAGAAGTTAACTTTGAGAAGATAT